CTCAACAATTTTATTGTAGAAGAGAAATTTTCCACAAGAAAGAATTGTTATAATCAAATGCGTACAACCAATAATAGATGGTCCAATTTTTTCTGCTTCATAAATGGTACAATTGTTCCTACTTATTTGTGTTATTATTATTTTTTCCTAAGTCTCTTATTTGTAATTTAATACAGTTTATATAAAATAAATTTTTTTATTTTTTTGTTGTGAAAACTGGAAATTTTCTAAAAATTTACTTTTAAACCAATAGTAATAAAAGTGTTTTTTATTTTATTTTATTTTGGATGTTCGGTAATAAAAGTGTTCCAAACATTGATATTTTGCTTCTGTAATTTTATTTTTAAAAGCGGCTAGGTGTTCTGTTATTTGATCAGAATGAACACACATTCATAAAATTCCATTGGAATGGCTCACAGGGTTGCAAGGTGTTTTCATACACATCACCAACAGGAGATTGATTGACAAAAAGAACTCCGGAAAAATCAAAACCAAATTTTTATTTCAAAATTTAGCGAAAATTATTCAGGAATTGACACAAGCATCGGACGCCAAGCCCTCCTCAGAAGCGGCCTGTGCCGCAACCCGACCCACCCTGTCCTTGGCGAACCCGATCCGACATCTAGACCCTTGGAATGATCCGGAAGCACTTCGCTTTTACCGCCAATTTTCCCGTTGAAGACCTTGCTTTTGTCTTCATCTTCACCGCAGGGTGGGGGTGACGATACAAGCAGATCCTTCAAAGTGCGGCCTTTCGTATCCCTATCGTCGTTCTCCTTCTTCTTCTTCTCAGGAGGTGAGGTAGGGACGAAACACTCCTGGTTAGGTACCCCTCGGCGGCTGGTGGTTCTCGTGAGGAGCATGCGCAGGGTAGATTTGCGGCGAGGGAAGTGCACAACGGGGCTCGTGCTCGGGCTGCGCGTTGGGCTTTGCGCCACGCCACATTGTGTTGCTAGCAGCTTGAATTTCTGTAACGTAGCCATTTCCTCTGTTTCCTTTCTCCAAAAATTGTGGTGTCTAGGGAGTAATACTTGCGGAAATTAATAAAGGTAGATGGAGGGTTTAGAATTTGAATCCTGAAATGATTGTCTGTGTCTTTCCGACCGATAAAAGGATCCACATTGGAGTCCCCATTCTCTCTTTCTGTTCCTTATTCATTTTTACAGTTTCAGAAAGTGCGTGCTTTGAATGGAATTTGGAAAACCGGTAAGAAAGGGAGGTGCGTTTTCCAAGGGAATTCTTTAGGCTCATAGGATTGTTGGGATCTCTCAATCTTTGTCTCCATTGGCCCTCATCAGCTTTTCTCTTTGTTCTTTTTTTTAGCTCGAGTTGTCAAAAGTTATATAATGAAAAATAATTATATTTTACCCTTTAATTTTTTTTACTTGCATGTTAAGATCTCTTATTTATAATAAAAATAATAATTATTGAAGTAATTAAATAATTGACATCCTTTTTCTTGTTCTTGTAGAAAAGAACAAGTACATTAGATTCAAGAATTTGTCTGTTTTCGGTCACCAGAAGAACAAAATATGACTTCCTCTGTTTCCTCCATCCATTCCACAGACTTCTGCAGTTTCTGATATCTTTAGTTTAACTGTTTGTGGTAGTGTACTGAGTAGAAAGTATTGTTTTGTAGTAGGAAGAAACAAATGAACTGCATAAGACTAGCATTAAATGCCATATTCACACCTCTGTAGGACCATAGCTATGTACATTCGCTCAAAACCAAGAGAAGCAAATAAACAACAAAATGGAGATTCCTCTGAAAAAAAAAAAAAACAAAACAAAACAAAAAAAGGAAAAAAAAAAAGGAGCTAAATGGTAGAGAACCTTATCTACTGTTATTAGGTGTCGTACTGCTGCTAACCCATTTGGCTGTCACTGAAGTAGGTGAAGATAGCTGCCGAATATTCTTCAAAAGTGCAGCCTCATCAGAGGTTTGTGGCGAAGGTGGTGGCTGGACAATGTTCAGCTCTTCAATATGGAGGTGACCCTCCATATAATTGTCTAGATTGGGCTCTTGTCCTTGTATTCTCTTCAGTTCCTCCAGTACTTCAACCATTGAAGGTCGCATTTCCTTCTCTTGTTTCAAGCATTGAAAAGCCAGCCCTGCAACTGAAGTAGTCATGCTTCTAATGTTCTCATCTGACTTGTATCCAAGAGTTGGGTCGATCAACTCATCCATTGCACTCTTTTGAATCTTGTTTATTGCTAGATTTGCCAGATTGATCTCATGCCTGTGCCTGCTGATATCAACAGCAGGCATTGACGATATGAGTTCAATGAGGACAACTCCAAAACTGTAGACATCACTCTTCTCTGTGAGCTGGTAACATTGATGATAATCTGGGTCGACATAGCCAGGAGTTCCTTGTGGAGCTGTTGAGATATGAGTGACATCGTTGGGAAACAACCTGGAGAGTCCAAAATCTGCTACCTTGACACAAAAATTATTGTCAAGGAGAATGTTGTTAGTTTTGACATCACGATGGATGATCCCAGAGGCATGGAGATAAGCTAATGCAGTTGCAGTTTCTATGGCGATGCTCATGCGAACAGGCCAGGGGAATGACCCAGGTTTTGCTTGATCTCCATGGATATGATCAGCAACTGTGCCATTGGGAATGAATTCATAAACAAGGAGAAGTTCACGGCTGTGGCGTGAAGTGCAGCCATAGAGGGAGACCAAATTTTGGTGGCGCAAGCGGGCTAGGATTTGAACTTCATTCTTGAACTGTTCTACACGCTTGTAGTTGTGATCATACAGGCGCTTGATTGCAACTTCTCGCCTATCTTTGAGTTTTCCTGATTCAAAAGGAGAGGAACCCAATTTCAGAAGCTAGCTACCAATCCTTTGTAACTGTTTATATCATTTGAATGGTTGATTTTTCAATGAGAAAAGAGTATTTTCTATCCTTACCATGGTATACAGTCCCAAATCCTCCATTTCCAAGTTCTTTTTTAGGGTCAAAATTATTGGTGGCTTCTTCAAGTTCACCATAAGAGAAGAGGGGGACTCCCACTCCAAAGTAGACACCGGCCCCTTCCAGATCTGATGTCCAGGAGAGATTGGAAGAAGTGTTCCCTCTTGTAAAGTTTGAAGAGCCATAATTCTGTTTGTAGGCACGAAGCTTTGTGATGAGGATAGACAAGATAATTAGAAAAACAGTTGAACCTCCAAATCCTGCAGTACAAAGACTTGAGTAGTGAATTCTAATATGGAGAAATTTTTCTCAGGAGAAACATATGCTGCCAAGAATATGAGATGTTGAAGAGATATATTACCAAGTCCTAGCTTCAATGGTGATTTCCTATTCCCTGCAATGAAAATTACAAACAAATGTAGAGTCAGCGAAGAAGAAAGGTACGTGCTCAAAAAAACTACTAGTTCTTATTCTCTGAAAGGATAAAAAACAGAAAAGTGGAAGAACAAATATGTTCACACAGACTAACATACATCATGTGCACAATTATGGAGTGTGGGCTTTATATCGATACTCCTACCTTTTCCATTTTTGGTACAAGGACTTGGGCATTCGCCTCCTTTTCCACATCCACCACAAGGTTTAGGAGGGTCGATTTCAACATGTATATAAATAGATAAGTTGTCAGTAAATGGTGTAAAGAGGTCTTTGGTGTATGAAGCGAGGTTTTTAAGGGGGGAATCAATTACAAGAGAACAATTCGAAGGTGCATTCGGTTTAGCATTCGGTTTAGCATTCGGTTTCGCATCCGGATCTAATCCATCATGGATCCTATAGTATACATTGCGGTTGTTGCAGCTTCTGTTTAAGTGAGTGAAGCCTGTTGGGATGGTAATATTTGAAGTGCTTTTGCTACAACTGAGAATAGCAACTCTGGAAACAATATGGAAAGAGATAGAAGTATAGTTTTTTTCTTTTGGCCATGAGATAAAAGTATAGTTGGAATAAGGCAAATTGACAAAGAATTCACAATCAAGGGATTGTAAAAGCACATCGTCATGAATGGTAATGATGTTCTCCCATGGCTTCTCCGGTTTGCGTATTTCTTCAAGTGTATACCATCTTCCTCCTACCTTCTCCAGTTGAATCTTCTGAACTGTTTTGTTGCATCCATCAATTAGGAACAACCCACACTCTGGGCGTCCCTTATCAGTGAAAGGGAACCCAGGTGCAGTAAAATTACCGCATTTAAAGGGCGGGCACTTTTTATCCCACCACTCTTCTTCATCAGCAGAGTGAAGAATTTCAAGGGTGGTGAGAACCAGAAAAAGAAACAAGGATACAGCAGCAGGAGCCATTAGGAGAGAGATTCCAAATTCAAGAACAAACAAAGACAACAGAATAACAGCAGATAGAAGGAGCTAAGTTCCCTCTGAACAAACCAGGTATCTTGAGTAAATCCCAAACTGGAAAAACTGACCTATATCCCTTGATTCTGCCATGCTCCTCTACACTCCGTTATTTATTATTTTTACAAATATTCTCAACCAGCTGACTTGGGATTTGGATGGGAAGACTTGGGGGAAACATACTGAAAGCAAGCAAGGTGGGGTAATCCATTGAATCATACAGTGTAAAAATCTTTCTATTGGTCGGCGGTGGGCCGTAGGTAAGAATTATAGCCCTCTTCCCGTTGACCACTTCTAATTTATAAAATGACTAGCATATGGTATCAACTGTCAAATTTTCTTTCTGCCTTGTTTGAAACGTCCTCAGATTAGCGGAAGGATTTGAAAGTTTGGACCCTTTGAGTTTCATAATTCAACCTAAAGAAATCAGAACATGGAAGAAGGAATGGCACCATTAGTCCATTACGCGTTTTGTCTAAAACATGCAGAAATAGTTCTATATACTTTTGTAAAGGTTTGGGAGGGTTGAGTGGGGTAAAGTTTGGAAAAGAAAAAACTATGGGGACAAAAAATGCTAGCCTTTGATGAGGGTGGAAAAGGAGATGGAAATCAGCTGGATTTAATAGGGTGAAAGGTTTAAATTATGAGATGTTTTACATGGAGTCGTCGTCATTTTTCAAATTCAATCAGGCCTTAGAAGTTGGAATTTGCAACAAGGCAGAAGGTGCAATTTAGTCCCTCTGCTTTGATTATTATGGCATGCCAGCCCCCCTACTTAGAAGTAGTGTAAATCAACCATCTACTTACCAAAACCAGCAAATCAGCCCTTCTATTAATGATGATGTCACTTTTCCATGACTATTGCTATTGCCCGTTAAACTCCGCTTATGTGGCGCTGATTGGGCATGACATGGTAAATTTCTTACAAATGGCGCCCATTACTTGTACAGCATTGTTTGAATAAAAATTTTTAAAACAAAACAATAAGTCTTAGCATATATTGTATTTAAATTTTTTAGAGTATATAATTAAAAATTTTTTTAATCTATATTTTAAAAACACATGTTAAGAGTATAATAATTATATTTTTTGTAATAAATTTATACTAAAAAATAAAAAATTAATTTTTAATTTATTAATTGTCTAATTAAATTTATCTATGTGGCAATAATACTAAAATTAATGTCAATTTTTATATTTCTCTATACAAAATTGTAACAAAAAAGAAAGGTTAACTTAAGAAACGTGTTAGAAAAACCCTATAATTAATTACAAAGTCAGAATGATTAAATTTTAAAATGGTTTTTCTAACACTTGCTTTAAACTTTAAAGGCATATGTTAATGGTTTAATAAATGCACATTTTTACAATTAATTTAATAAAATTATAAAAGTTGACATTTATTTTATCACCATAATCACATGTAAAATTTTAATTGATCAAGTGATTATATCAAAATCAACATATATATTTTTTTATACAACTTAATTACAAAAAATATAATTATTACACCATTAACATATAAAGATATGGTTTAGAAATATTGATTTTAAAATTAAAGATTTCCCTAACATGTGTTTTACTTGCATATATTAAATATATTTATTGTATTTTTTTATCATTATTCATAATTATTATGAAAAAAAATAAAAATTTACTTTAATTTTATAACTGATCAACTAATATGATCCTATGTTGAGTGCAACTTTAATTTTTGAAGTTGATCTTAAAGTGGGGCCCATGCCAGCAAAGGAAGGAGAAAAATGAAGCCAAGTTGTCAAATAAGTTGTCACGTTTTGCCCAGTTAGTGTCACATAAGTAGAGTTTAACAAGGCAATAGCGACATTCTTGAAAAAGTGATGCCATCCTAAACAGAAGGGCTAATTTGCTGATTTTGGTACGTAGGAGGTTGCACTATTTCTAAGTAGAGGAGTTGACAGGCCAGGGGCTGAATTGCACCTTCCACCTTGCAACAATTGCTTGGAAGTTTCTTGGTCAATGGAGAACTGGGTTATAGCAGAAGTGAAAGTCAAGGTCAGATCAAACTTGTTAAC